TAAATAGTATTTAGTATTTGTGACTAAATATTGATTATTTGTGACTAACAAATTTTCAATCATAATTACTTATTTCATAGTAATGATTATTTATACTCACTAGTTTATAATATATTTGTAACTATTCTTCGTTGACAAAATATCTTTTTAGTTACGAATTTATTTCATCAACAATGAACATGTACATATTTGTGACTAATATTTTAAATCTATCACAATTATAATGAGTTAAAATGATGATTTTTATAGTCACAAACTTATATTGTATTTAAGATTGTTTTTCAGTGATGAAATATCTTTTTAGTTACATATTTATTTTGTCAAATTTAAGCATGTGTATATCTATGACCAATATTTGCAATCTATCACAATATTGTGATGAATTATAGTGATGATTTTTATTATCAAAAACTTGTATTATAATTATGACTACCCTTCAATGACGAAATATCTTTTTAATAACGAATTGTTTTTGTCAATATTAAACATGTGTGTATTTGTGATCAATATTTAAAATCTGTCACAATTGTAATGGGCTGTAATGATAATTTTCAAATTCATCACAAAATTTCATCACTAAAAGTCTTTTTTCTTGTAGTGGCCCATTGGTCACTGCTTTTGTTCTTTCCATTTTGAACATTAAAATAATTTAGACAATACTTAAGAAATATGAAGAAAAAGATCTCAAAAATCCCTCATAGCCTGCAATTTACATAACCTTTTCGCAAATAAACATATAAAAAAAAAAGTGGAGCTGGGTTTGGTGAACCCAGATCAGTTGGATTTGAGCCAACCCAGCAACACAGGAAGAAGAGGAAGAAAGAAAAAGAAAAAAGAAAGGAAGAAGATGGATCAAATTTTTTATTAAAAATATAAATGCTAATCAAATTTGGTTTATGAGTTGGCGTTGATATATCATCAAAAAAAATTTTTAGATCAACACTTTTTTAAGTTATTTTCACCATGTCATCAAAAAAATATAAAAAATGTCACATGACAGAGTTAACGGTTTAAATTGACAGAAAGACTAACGATGTGCATTTTTTAGAGTTGAGGGATAAAAAAAATGTAAAAAAATTATTGAGGGACCAAAAATGTGCAACTCACTAAAGTTGAGGAACCAAATTTAGCATTTAACCAATAATTAAGCATAAAATACAACTTTGGAGCGTGACTCCTCTCCTCCCACACACAACTTTTTTTTTTTTTTTGAAAAACAAAAAATTTATTTATTTAGAGTACAATATATACTTTAACCCATGTACCCACACACAACCTCTTTGCTTCTTCAGAGTCAAAAAAACCTACGGCCACTATTGAGACGGTAAGTTATTATTATTCACAAATTGTTAATTTCTACACTTTTTTCTTTTAGGAGCACGCGGCTGTGTGTTCATAAACCTAGTTCATAAATTTGAGGGGGTAGTCCACAGGTTCATTTAATTAATAGAGAAGTTTACAATTTTTACCCTATATTTAAAAGTTTAAATTAATTTTTATTAAAAAATAATGAATGAATGTTTCATTTGTAAATGTATAATAATAATCCCTAGAAAATAATAATAATAATAATAATAATTGTTCCTAGCCTAACTAGTTATGTGGTCTAGTGATAGATTTATTTGTAAATTTTAGAGAAGAAAAAGGAATGGTGTTAATTTTGTTTGGATAAACAAAAGTAGAGGAGAAGAAAGGATAATATTTTTATTTAATCTTTTAAAATAAAAATTAG